TTTCACTGGATATAGCTTAGAACAAGCAGTAGTTGTCATATGTTTTCAATGGTTATAGTTTAAGATAACCAGCAGTTGCCAAATGTTTCCAATGGTTATAGTTTAGACCAAGCAGCAGTTGCCAAATGTTTCCAATGGTTATAGTTTAGACCAAGCAGCAGTTGCCATATGTTTTCAATGGTTATAGTTTAAGATAACCAGCAGTTGCCATATGTTTTCAACGGTTATAGCTTAGACCAAGCAGCAGTTACTATATGTTTTCAATGGTTATAGTTTAGACCAAGCAGCAGTTGCTATATGTTTCCAATGGTTATAGCTTAGACCAAGCAGCAGTTGCTATATGTTTCCAATGGTTATAGTTTAGACCAAGCAGCAGTTGTCATATGTTTCCAATGGTTATAGTTTAGACCAAGCAGCAGTTGCCATATGTTTTCAATGGTTATAGTTAAGAACAAGCAGCAGTTGCCATATGTTTTCAATGGTTATAGTTTAGACCAAGCAGCAGTTGCCATATGTTTCCAATGGTTATAGCTTAGACCAAGCAGCAGTTGCTATATGTTTCCAATGGTTATAGTTTAGACCAAGCAGCAGTTGCCATATGTTTTCAATGGTTATAGTTAAGAACAAGCAGCAGTTGCCATATATGTTTTCAATGGTTATAGTTTAGACCAAGCAGCAGTTGCCATATGTTTCCAATGGTTATAGCTTAGACCAAGCAGCAGTTGCCATATGTTTCCAATGGTTATAGTTTAGACCAACCAGCAGTTGTCATATGTTTTCAATGGTTATAGTTTAGACCAAGCAGCAGTTGCCATATGTTTTCAATGGTTATAGTTAAGAACAAGCGGCAGTTGCCATATGTTTTCAATGGTTATAGTTAAGAACAAGCAGCAGTTGCCATATGTTTTCAATGGTTATAGTTTAGACCAAGCAGCAGTTGCCATATGTTTCCAATGGTTATAGCTTAGACCAAGCAGCAGTTGCTATATGTTTCCAATGGTTATAGTTTAGACCAAGCAGCAGTTGCCATATGTTTTCAATGGTTATAGTTAAGAACAAGCAGCAGTTGCCATATGTTTTCAATGGTTATAGTTTAGACCAAGCAGCAGTTGCCATATGTTTCCAATGGTTATAGCTTAGACCAAGCAGCAGTTGCCATATGTTTCCAATGGTTATAGTTTAGACCAACCAGCAGTTGTCATATGTTTTCAATGGTTATAGTTTAGACCAAGCAGCAGTTGCCATATGTTTTCAATGGTTATAGTTAAGAACAAGCGGCAGTTGCCATATGTTTCCAATGGTTATAGTTTAGACCAAGCAGCAGTTGCCATATGTTTTCAATGGTTATAGTTAAGAACAAGCAGCAGTTGCCATATGTTTTCAATGGTTATAGTTTAGACAAAGCAGCAGTTGCCATATGTTTTCAATGGTTATAGTTTAGACCAAGCAGCAGTTGCTATATGTTTCCAATGGTTATAGCTTAGACCAAGCAGCAGTTGCTATATGTTTCCAATGGTTATAGTTTAGACCAAGCAGCAGTTGCCATATGTTTCCAATGGTTATAGTTTAGACCAAACAGCAGCTGCTATATGTTTCCAATGGTTATAGCTTAGACTAAGGGGCAGTTGCTATATGTTTCAAATAGTTATAGTTTAGACCAAGCAGCAGTTGTCATATGTTTTCAATGGTTATAGTTAAGAACAAGCAGCAGTTGCTATATGTTTCCAATGGTTATAGTTTAGACCAAGCAGCAGTTGCTATATGTTTTCAATGGTTATTGTTTAGAACAAGCAGCAGTTGCCATATGTTTTCAATGGTTATTATTTAGACCAACCAGCAGTTGCCATATGTTTTCAATGGTTATAGTTAAATACAAGCAGTAGTGGCCACATATCTTTTCAATGGTAATAGTTTAGAACAAGCAGTAGTTACAACATATTTTTTCAATGGCTATAGTTTAGAACAAGCAGTAGTGGCCACATATCTTTTCATTAGTTATAGTTTAGAATAAGCAGCAGTTGCCACATGTGTTTTCAATGGTAATAGTTTAAAACAAGCAGTAGATGCCACATGTGTTTTCAATGGTAATAGTTTAGAACAAGCAGTAGTTGCCACATATGTTTTCAATGGTTATAGCTTAGACCAAGCAGCAGTTGCTATATGTTTTCAATGGATATAGCTTAGAACAAGCAGTAGTTGCCGCAGATGTTTTCAATGGTAATAGTTTAGAACAAGCAGTAGTTGCCACATATGTTTTCAATGGTTATAGCTTAGACCAAGCAGCAGTTGCTATATGTTTTCAATGGATATAGCTTAGAACAAGCAGTAGTTGTCATATGTTTTCAATGGTTATAGTTTAGAACAAGCAGTAGTTGCCACATGTTTTCAATGGTTATAGCTTAGACCAAGCAGCAGTTGCCATATGTTTTCAATGGTTACAGTTAAGAACAAGCAGCAGTTGCCATATGTTTTCAATGGTTATATTTAAATACAAGCAGTAGTGGCCACATATCTTTTCAATGGTTATAGTTTAGAACAAGCAGCAGTTGCCACATATGTTTTCAACGGTTACAGTTAAGAACAAGCAGTAGCTGCCACATATGTTTTCAATGGTTATAGCTTAGACCAAGCAGCAGTTGCCATATGTTTTCAATGGTTATAGTTAAGAACAAGCAGCAGTTGCCATATGTTTTCAATGGATATAGCTTAGAACAAGCAGTAGTTGTCATATGTTTTCAATGGTAATAGTTTAGAACAGGCAGTAGTTGGCACATGTTTTCAATGGTTATAGTTAAGAACAAGCAGTAGTTGCCATATGTTTTCAATGGATATAGCTTAGAACAAGCAGTAGTTGTCATATGTTTTCAATGGTAATAGTTTAGAACAGGCAGTAGTTGGCATATGTTTTCAATGGTTATAGTTAAGAACAAGCAGCAGTTGCTATATGTTTCCAATGGTTATAGCTTAGACCAAGCAGCAGCTGCTATATGTTTTCAATGGTTATAGTTAAGAACAAGCAGCAGTTGCCATATGTTTTTCAATTGTTATAGTTTAGAACAGGCAGTAGTTACAACATATGTTTTCAATGGTAATAGTTTAGAACAAGCAGCAGTTGCTATATGTTTCCAATGGTTATAGCTTAGAACAAGCAGCAGTTGCTATATGTTTCCAATGGTTATAGCTTAGACCAAGCAGCAGTTGCTATATGTTTTCAATGGATATAGCTTAGAACAAGCAGTAGTTGCCGCAGATGTTTTCAATGGTAATAGTTTAAAACAGGCAGTAGTTACAACATATGTTTTCAATGGTTATAGTTTAGAACAGGCAGTAGTTGCCACATATGTTTTCAATGGTTATAGTTTAGAACAGGCAGTAGTTACAACATATGCTTTGCAATGTTACTTGCCACTTTGGCCGTAGCGGAAATGCTATACGGAAATCAGGGTCTGACAGTTGTATTTGCTACTTTAATCAGCAGAGAAAGATGTTCGGCTAACATTAACCCGTATTTAAATAGCCCACAAGCACCTGCACCTCCCCGAATCCAGCCAACATGTATTCAGTAACCTGCGGCCTGGCATATCGTGCCGTAATCTCATTTGTAGAGGCCATGTCACCTTCCAATTTAGAAACATACAACTTTACGGATAACAACTTCTGTAGATTCTTACACAGTTGCCAAGCTGGAGTGTCTCCAAACACACACGATGTATTGCAAAATATCTCATAACCGGGTATAGTCGATCAAATGTAAATACGGTACACGGAAATGTATACCCAACAATATCTGGAGAAAACTTGTTTAATTAAATACCTTGTTGCTATGGGTACTGGTTGACATCTTAACAGGAGGGATGCATGACAGCGGGAGGAAGGGTGCACACGTGCTGCACGTGCTAAGTAGTATGCGTCCTTGTTGACTGAAGATTAGCTACTCAGTTGATTAAAAACAGTTGAATTTGAAGGTGTATGATTTCTTTCAGTTTGTAGAAGAAGGGGAAAAACTACTTTATAAATGAATTATATTAGTATACATTAGAAACGAGCTTCTAAAGCTATTGGCATATCTATTAACAACCTGAAAATGTCAGGGCAAGCGGATGGGGAACATATCACAATCATGTATTGATTGATTAATTAGACAGTTGGCTAAAATATCAAGTCCGAGTTGCAATTGTTACACTGTATTCAAAAAAGAAGTACGTGCCACTAAATGAGTACGATTTAATCATTACAAAAAAAGCAATGGTGAGGTGACGTGAAATTGGGTTTAACGTCGTGCTTGAGAATATTTCGCTCATATGACGACGTGCATGCGTGTGTATGTGTATGTGTGGCTGCTTGTACTAGCCCAGACTAAAGCTGATTTTATAGTGAGTGCTAGCCCACTGAGATACCATGCCGCAGTGAAGCATGAATACCCCACTCAGACACATTATACTGACTCCGAGCCGACCGGTCCTTGTTGTACCCAATAATGCCGAGCGGCAGGCAGGGAACAACAAGTACCATATTTTAACGTCTTTTGGTATGACGTGGTCGGGGATCGAAACCGCGACCGTCCGCTCTCCGGGCGGGCGTCTAACCACTACACCACGGAGGCGCTAAAAAGCAATGGCAACTATTGAATACATTTGGATATAGAAACCTCGTTATCCCGGACCTCCGCATTCTGGACACCACGCTATTCAGACAATTCTAAGGGACGTCCACATATTAAATACGGACATTAGTCAGGAAAGGTCATTCCGGAAACAAATGTTAGTCAGTTTCACTCTGATAGACAAGTTTACTCTGAACTGGGCGGCCCGGATAAAGGACGTTTCAGAGTACACATAGGTATCTTAGGCGAGATCTGTTACCCTAGGTGAGAAGAACATCTCACTAGTTTGCAAATATCTCACGGTAATGTATTTGAACTTCCATTATAACGTTTTGTGTTGCTCTCTGATTGATGTCGTTAACAGTGAAATTGTATTGTTGATTGTCATCTCATGCAGGTTGTCCGACTGAAGAAGGCATCCATTTCGATATAAGCGGCTAGTATGCCGGGCTCCAAGAACCCTCCCCCAATGGGGGCGAAGCGGAAGACATCGACAGAGAAGAAGACTGACACTCCGAGGAAGACTGACAGTGAGAAGAGGAACCCGGACGTCAAAACGGCTGAGGGTGCGCAAAAAGGCGGGAAAGCTGCCCCTAGTGTCAGGAAAGGGGATGGAGAGAAGCCACCTAGGGATGTAGTGGAAAGAAATACAACCAAGCTGTTCCAGGCCATAAAACGTGCACAGACGCATAACATGGAGGAGTTCATCAGACTTGGGGCCAATGTCAACGGGAGGGATGAGGTGAGTGAGTTGACGCATAGAAGTGTCTGATTCTAGTTTTTTTATTTTCTGTTGCATTATTTGTCATCACGATGAGGTGAGGTGAGGTGAAATTGGGTTTAACGTCGTGCTTGAGAATATTTCGCTCATATGACGACGTGCATGCGTGTGTATGTGCGGCTGCTTGTACTAGCCCAGACTGAAGCTGGTTTTATACTGCTTGCCCACTGAGATACCATGCCGCAGTGAAGCAGGAATACCCCACTCAGACACATTATACTGACTCCGAGCCGACCGGTCCTTGTTGTACCCATTAATGCCGAGCGCCAGACAGGGACCAACAAGTACCATATTTTAACGTCTTTTGGTATGACGCGGTCGGGGATCGAAACCACGACCTTCCGGTCTCCGGGCGGACGCTCTAACCACTACACCACGGAGGCGGTCCATCACGATGAGGACGCCACAAATCAGCTTCACACATATTACCCATGAGAGGACTCGAACTCGGGCCTTAGGCGTGCCCAGCAAAAGCGTCAGCCACTAGGCTTCTCTACAAAACGGATGAATAGCAACAGGATACTGAGCTTTCAAGAAAAATAGGGACACTACGTTCTGAACACCTCACTCGCAGACACTGGACAGTATCAGTTATACTTGCAGGAAGGAAGGACTCCTATAATTCTGGCTGCAGAACTCCGAAACAACACGGTGCAGACGTTGCTGTGTGCCAAACACGTCGTTGACGTCAATGCGTCAAACAAGGTAAATCCTGGATGTAATTTGAGTGAGTGAGTGAGTTTGGTTTTACGCCGCTTTTAGCAATATTCCAGTAATATCACGGCGGGGGACGCCAGAAATGGGCTTTACACATTTTGCCCATGTGGGGAATCGAACTCGGGTCTTTGGCGTGACGAGCGAACGCTTTAACCACTAGGCCACCCCACCGCCCGAATGTCCTTTTGAGATACGTCCTACATGGTACTGACAGCTCACTCTGGAATTACATTAACCGGGCCTACCAAAGAAAACTTTCCCACTGTTCAGAAAAACGCAGAAAAGCCCATATTTATCGCGGAAATAGCAACATAAACATAATACCTCTCTACTGAAACAGTAAAAACGACAACTTTAAATCGCTAACACTGCATCATAAAACGAGGAGCCCGCAACTTCGATTTTGCGCATGCGCACATGGAAGAGGAAGTCTCGACCGCATGTTGACATTTTCCAGCTTGGACAAAAGTTTCATTCCTTTTTAAGTATTTCTGTTGTGTTTTTTGGCATTTATCATCATGATACTTGTGTGCACACTTGTTTAGTTTACTATACCATTCGTATGAAAAGATTGACAGCAATTATTTCGACATATTTAATACTTTTTCTACGCGAGGCGATTCAAGGTTGCTCGGAAATTGGAAGGAAGCCCGGATCGTAATGTGCATGCGCAGTAGAGGTCAAAGTTCGCTGATATAAAAAATGTTGCAGTTTCATAGTTTTTCGTTGCCGTTTTTACTCTTTCAGTAGCGAGGTAATGTGTTTATGTTGCTATTTTCACGATTAATGTGGGCTTTTCTGCGTTTGTCTACACAGTGAGAAAGTCTTCTTTGGTAACGTGGTGATAAGTTTAAAGCGGTTGTCTGGGAGGGGATCTGAAAGTTGTTTGAACATGGTAACAAGTGATCGCGCGTGGACGTGAAGCCGTAGCTAACACAGCAAAAATAACTTAATTTCCGTTCTTGCGGAAACCTGTTGGAGTGTGGGTAACGGAAACCTTGCGGAAACCCTTAGAAAGTGGGTAATTGTAAGTTTCCGTTATTGCGGAAACTCAATGTAAACGAACGGAAACTCACTGGATTCTAGGTGGAAACTTAAGTTTCAGTCCACTTTCCACCAGGTTTCCGCATTGCGGAAACCAAGTTATTTTTGCTGTGTAAGCTTTCAGGAAGTGTGGAGGCATGTGGACATTACTTACAAATGTGGTGCACCAGTGATAAAAGCTATGTCGTTGGTTGGTTTGTTGTTTAACGCCGCACTAAACAACATTCCAGCTTTATGACGACGGTCTGTAAATAATCGAGTCTGGACCATACAATCCAGTGATCAACAGTATGAGCATTGATCTACGCAATTCGGATGATGACATGGTGTCAACCAAGTCAGCGAGCCTGACGACAAGCATGGGTTGCTGAAGATCAATTCTAACCCGGATCTTCACGGGTAAAAAAGTTATGTCGGATGTAGTCACTTCTTGTCACATCCACCATGTGTGTCTTTACTGCGGTAAACAATTGACCTTTCTTTGCATGTGTTTGTGATGAGTGCGACCTTTTTGCGAACATCATTTCTTGATATAGTCTTGATACAATAGATTCAGCCTTTTGGACAGACCTCATACGATTGTGGAACTGCTTTTAAGGATTTTATTATATTCGCCAATTTGTATCACTGTGTTTAGACATTCTAACCACAACTTTTCAGCTTAAGAGAACTGCCCTGCATTACGAATCCGCCCATGGTGACACGGACAGTGTTAAACAACTTTTGGCTCACGGAACAAGCTTAGACACCAGAGATGTGGTATGAATTCCAAACTGTTATGAAAGAGTGAGTTTAGTTTTACGCCGCACTCAGCAATATTCCAGCTTTATGGCGGCGGTCTTTAAATAATCGAGTCTGGACCAGACAATACAGTGGTCAACAGCATGAGCATCGATCGGCGCAATTGGGATACGATGGCATGTGTCAGCCAAGTCAGCGAGTCTGACCACTCAATCCCGTTAGCCGCCTCTTACGACAAAAATGGGTTGCTGAAGATCAATTCTAACCCGGAACTTCATGGGTCCCAAACTATTGTAACACAACAGCCGGTAAGACGACTGTAGTATCTGTGATATAAATTGTATAAAGTCATATGAGATAGTTCATTATAAAGTTGGGATGTACAAAAAATACTTTCAGGCATTTCATAGGCGGTGGGGTAGCCTTGCGGTTAACGCGTTGGCTCGTCACACCGAAGATCCCGGTTTGATTCCCACATGGGTACAATGTGTGATGGCCATTTCTGGTGTCCCCCGCCGTGATATTGCTTAAAGCGGAGTAAACCTAAACTCACTCACTCACTCACTCGCTTTCATGCATTTCAGGAAGGGAGAACGCCCTTGCATTTTGCTGTCAACGGAAACCATTTTGCAACAGCAGACATTCTGGTGTTTTGCGGAGCGGACGGTACCTTGAAGGATAAGGTATTCTAATTGTGAAAAAACGAAATTTGCTTACTGACGCCTTAGTCATGCCTCTAGTTGATATTACTTGGAAATGCTTTAAAGAGCTCATTTGGTCAAATCATCTGAGACGCTTGATCGCTGAGCAGTCCTTGATCGTGAGATGAAATTCCATATACTCGCTGGTAATGATCGGTGTAGGGGGTAAATTAGTCTGTCTCACAGTCCCTGAACCACATTAATTTCCCCAGGAGGTAAATGTCTTGGCATTTAAGCATTTCATACACGCAGTGCTGATAACTGCGACGCCTTGTTGTTTGATGATGTTTTTGTTTATGTCTAACATATATTTAGCATATAATTATGAGCCTTTTTCAGCCCTTCAAAGGTATTGTTATCTCTACTCTGTGGGTATGTGAATATGATTACTTTACGACAATGAGTCAGTCGACCCTATCGAATAGTCAAGTTTTAACGCGTCATATATACTCATGCCAATAATGGTTGTCACACTACCCCCACCCCAACCCCACACACACACCCTCACCTCACCCCACACCCCTCTCCAATTAAAAAATTGAAGGTGGTGACAACCATTATTGGCATGAGTATATTTAATATATACTTGCCTTTCGCAATTTGAAGCATCATCCTTGTGAATGCAAATTGTTCGTAGATTTTACGGCCCCTCTACGAGACATGGAACCTTACGATTTGGCTATTACAGATGAAACATGCCATTGAAGTACATCACGTATATCCTTTTGAATAGTAAGATATATGAATCAAAGTGTGATGACATTAAAAGTTGACTCAAGAAAGTATTTCTTTATGTCATGACAGGACCGTGTCTCTCCGGAGTCAATCAGCAGGACGTCAATGATGAGTGAACTCATGAAGAGATCAAGGGAAATAACTGCAGGCATAAAACATGAGTAAGTTTGCCTGGTAAACTATGACAACCATAACTGCCCCACGAATACATCCATAAGCTGTTGTGGTTATGATGAATAGAAATCCATTACCATTACCGTAATGCCATTACTACCTTCACCGCTCAACTACTACGGAGACCGCCTCCGTGGTGTAGTGGGTAGAGCGTCCGCCCGGAGAGCGGAAGGTCGCGGGTTCGATCCCCGACAGCGTCATACCAAAAGACGTTAAAATATGGTACTTGTTGGTCCCTGCCCTGCCTGGCGCTCGGCATTAATGGGTACAACAAGGACTGGTCGGTTCGGAGTCAGTATAATGTGTCTGAGTGGTGTATTCATGCTTCACTGCGGCATGGTATCTCAGTGGGCTAGCACTATAAAACCAGCTTCAGTCTTGGCTAGTACAAGCAGCCGCACATACACATACACATGCATGCACGTCGTCATATGAGCGAAATATTCTCAAGCACGACGTTAAACCCAATTTCACCTCACCTCACCTCAACTACTACGGCTTGCTGTCGATATAGATCATATAGATCGAAAATCGTTAAATAAGTTTCGATCGATTATCGATAAATATCGGTAATTTACCAGAAAAATCTGAATATGAAATGAATATATTTCAAATGACTGGTAGTTGTGACTTGTTTATTCATGGATTCCGAACACAACAGCGTCTAGATGAACATATAATTTAGGAAGCAGCCCCTGAATAAAGACCTAACTTTGTTTATTGTGTGAGCACATTTTAAACCGGTTTCTATCACAAATGGCAATATAGCACAGTTTGGTTTTCATATCGACAATCATTAATAATTGTTCCTATCGACGATATTTCCGATTATCGATCATTTTAGGCAACCCTGTCAAATACACTTGGCTTTGTTCTGTCCGTTATTGATCTTAATATACATCATTCTCTCGTCAGACTTTCCCTTCAACTTGATTTGCCTTTGCATGTGTTTGTGATGAATGCCACTCGCGAGTCAGGATACGTTCCCTAATTCGCGAACACCGGGTGTCATCACTACCTAATTGCCATGCATAAACACATGCTCGTGTTATAGCCGGAATTGTAATATTAATTTTAGTAGGCTTATTTCTATTGATTATTAAAAGGATATTGTCTGGTTTTTTATTAATTGTTACGCATATGTTTGTGATAACAACCCTGGAAATGTATTCTTTTACAGGTACATCACCATCGAACGCAAAGCCTTGACGGGTAACCGTTTCGTGGAACTTGAAAACATTGGTCTCAAAGTGCAAACTCCTGAGATGTTTTCCAAATCACCTGTCTGCTTTCTATGCAGAAGAGTTCGGCCTGAGTACAGCCTCACCTGTCTGGGGCCCATAAACTCAGAGCTTCTCATCAGTGACACATTTGAATTCCGGATATCCGGGTCACAGTTCAAGGGCAAGGTCAAAGTTTACATCCCGATGTATGACAAACCGGAGCCATACGAAGAAGTACATATCAAAACGAACATTACACATACTCTGCGAGAAGACAGTGTGGAGCTTACTGACTACGAGCGTCTCGAGAATTCGGTATGAGTCCTAGGAATAATATGTCATTAAACATTATTTCCATCTGTCCAGAATGACTTTGAGTTTCTGATCAAGATATTTTGTTAGCTTTTCTACAGCCTGCGCTTTATGAAAGCTAAATGTAAATATATCATGGACGGAAAGAAAACACCATTATTGAAAGAGATACTTTCTACGTTTGACTAGGTATTTATTCTGATGGTGTTTCATCGGGTTATGCCAACACCTGGTGTCTGATTTGTTTCATCCCCTTACGTGAACACCAGGTGTCATACTGATTTCCTGTGGATCTTTAATATATTATTCACAGGTTGTTCGCCCTTCACTCCAAATGGAATCTGTTCCCGCAGGTAATCAGGACTGGTTAAACGCTTGCGTCTGTCATTGGTCTGAAAATATACTAAGCAGCAAAAGAAACGTCAGTTTGGAATTTTCCTTCGCAGAAACGTAAAACTATAAACTCATTTAATGTTTTGATTGTATATTTTTGACAACATCTCCAATTACCTGAGCAAAGACATTCCTTCCCAAACTCTGAATTGAACGCAGGAAATGGTCTCAAAAACGCAACCTGACCTCGAGAGATGGTACGGTGTTCTCCATGTTTATCATGCAACTCATGCTGCACGTGCTGTTCACAAGGACCAGCCCTATAAAATGCACCCCCAAACCTGGTTGAAACATTCACATTACAACGTCAGCAGGATGCCGCGACTCACGACAGCTCAGAGGAACCAGGCGCTAGGAAGACTTGAAGCTGGCCACACTGCACAAGCCGTTGCCAGTCACTCCCAGGTCAACGTTTGGACCATCTACAGGCTACAGCAACGTTTCCGGGCCACCAACACCACAAATGATCGCCCCCGTACTGGCAGACCAAGGGTTACCATAAGACGACAAGACCGCCATGTTGTGCGACAGCATGTACAGAATCCCTTCATGCAGGCATCCGAAACAGCACGCCAGACAGTGGGAACACACGAAAGACCAATCAGTACTGATACAGTACGCCGACGTCTTAACAGCGGGAACCTCCATTGTTGTAGACCTTACCGTGGACATATCCTCAACCCTCGTCATCGGCGTGATCGTTGCCCTACAACGCCAAAACTGGCGATACACGCAATGGAGAACTGTTCTGTTCACAGATGAGAATCGGTACTGCGTATCAACTGCAGATGGCAGAACAAGAATAAGGCAACGACGTGGCCAGCGTTACGCAGACCAATGTGTTATGGAAAGTGAATCATGGGGAGGTGCAAGCATCATAGTATGGGGTGGAATAGGCCTGAACCGGGAAGTGGGTCCTCGCACTTCGCACGTCACCGAACAACATTTTCCAGCATGATAACGCTCGGGCCCATACTGCCAGAGCTACACGGGACTTCCTACAGCACAACGGTGTCAAGATTATGCAGTGGCCAGCCCTTAGTCCTGATTTAAACCCAGTTGAACATCTTTGGGACGAAATTCAGAGGAGACTGAATAATGTCATACCAAGACCGAACACAGCCGATTTATTGCGCCAGGCTTTTCTCAGAGTATTGTTCCAGGTGCCAAAGGCCTTCATCAATCGATTGGTGCACTCCATACATAGACGCTGTGCTGCAGTTATTGCCGCTCGTAGTGGTCACACTAGATACTGAAGTCAAGGGTCTAAATGGACTGCAAACGTTCACGTAATGTCTTGAAATATAGCTGAGTTATTCATTGATGTGTCAAGATATTGTACACAAAAATGTTTTTGAACCGCTTATTATGTCAATTTCTGTAATGATTTGATTACAGTGCCTATCTAATTTTGAATTCGTACTGACGGTTGGGGTTTTTTTTGCCGCTGAGTATATCAGACCCATGATAGTCAACCACAGAGCACTGTACCCTCCCCCCTCCCTGACTTACATCGCATTAGCATTACCCTTGAAGATCCGGGTTAGATTTGGTCTTCAGTAACCCCGGCATGTAGTAAAAGGCGACTAACGGGATCGGGTGGTCAGGTTCGCTGACTTGGTTGACACATGTCATCGTTTCCCAATTGCATAGATCGATGCTCATGATGTTGATCACTGTATTGTCTGGTCCAGACTCGATTATTTACGCTATGGAACATTGATGAGTGCAGCTTTAAACAGCACACCAACCAACCAACTATACCATGGCTGTTAAAACTTTGATCACGAAGCATTAACTATTTATATTGTAATTTGATTATCAGAACCAGTGGATTTGCAGCCTAGACATTGACCTGAAGGAGATCAAGGCCTTTGTGCTGGTGACCCGGCCCAGAGTGGAATACTTCAACGTAGGGTCCAGGGGAGGACAGTTTGCTTCGGAAGTTGACGACTTCATCAAATTTGATATTCCTTCCAAATCCTTCTCAGACAAAGGGAGATTATCACTGGAGGTAAGTTGCCATGGTAATCATAAAGAAGTAACCATGATGTGAGGTGAAACGGAGGTGAACGTCACGCCCAAGATTGTTTCATCTGTAGCATTCTATTGTGTGTACGTATATTTGCGGGTGTAATAACGAATTTATTCCATTTGGAATATAAAACGTTTTCGGGATCCAATGAATAACAAAACATGATAAAATTAATCTAATAAGAAACCAGTCGTAATTGTCTCATCAGTGTTACAGCAATATTTGTCTGTCTACTGTATCAAAAAGGATTATTAAAAAAGAGGAGATGATGAAATTATTGTATTCCAGGAGGGCATATTGTTCTTCTGAGTTGAACTAGACTGTTTCTACAACTATCGGATGTTTTTGAAAATTATATATATATATCAAGGGAGAAAGTTGTTCATTTGCACAATTTTATTTTGAGTTCTGTCTATATTTTGACTAAAAGATGTGAGGTTGTATACATAATATCTAAACAAGTTTGTATATATACTCATTCAAAGAAATATGGGATCACGCATATACCTTTTGATAAGTTAAGAACGCCTATTGAAATTAAAGCACAACTAATGTTATATGATACTTTAGCTTTTATTCCATGAATATGACAGTTGTTTGACAACAATTGCAGGTCAGTAGTGCGTGTGTCCACCTCTGTTTCTGACTGCACACCTAGCCCTCATCGACCTCACTAATGTCCTCAGTGATGGCTGTGGTATTGCTTGCCACTCCTGGTCTAGAAATATGAACAGTTGGTCAGCGTTCACTGGCGGATGATGATTCTGACGGATACGCCTACCAAGGATGTCCCAAACATGCTCTATGGGAGCAAGGTCTGGAGAATATGCTGGCCACTGCATCCTCACAACACCTCGTTGATTAAGGAAGCCTGTAACCACACGTGCCCAATGTGGCCTGGCGTTATTGTCCTGGAACACCGATTGCGATCCAATGGCGTTAAGTGACGGAATGACAAGTGGACCAAGAATCTCATCTCTGTATCGTAAACCAGTCAGGTTGCCATGAATACAGTTCAGAGGACTCCTGTGATGAAGACTGAATGCACCCCACACCAAGACGGATCCTCAACCAAACCGGTCACGTTCACTAACGTTCACATCGTGAAAGCGTTCTCCTCGCCTTCTGAACGCCCGTGCACGACCATCATGAACTGTAAATTGTATCGGGACTCATCGGAAACAACACCCTTGACCACTGTTGACGATTCCATCGCAAATGAGCCAAACACCATGCTTCCCGTGCTGTTCTGTGACGAGGACGTAACGGTTGTCTGACAGATGGACATCTGTTATGGATGCCAGCGCTCACGTAAACGGTTACGAATGGTCTGGAAACTGACGTTGACATTCGTGGCATCCCTCAACTGCAGGCGAAGAGCATTTGCTGTGACGAATCTCTGCCGCAGAGCTGACGTTGTGACATAACGGTCATCAGCATGTGCCGTTGAACGGGGCCTTCCTGAACGTGGCCGGTCCTACACCCTCCCTGTCGTCTGAAACCTTTCAAAAAAGTCGATGAATCACAGAGGGGATTTCTGCAGACGTCGAGCAACCTCACGAATCGAAACGCCATCCTGTAGCCACCCAATCGCCCTTGCTCGATCAAATTCACTCAACGGTTGTGGCATTGTGCACTGACAAAATCATCAATGACACTGTTGCAAAGAGCTCAACTTCTTATACCCATCCACGTACATGCTTCATTAGGATCATGTGTTGCACGTGCATGGTTGCATTTGTGTTCTCTGTTCCCGTCCAGACTAAGGATTATGATCTCAACAGTGAACAATTTTGGCAAATTTTGGGCACTTTGTTATGCTGCAAAACATAACAAATATGGCTGTCATCAACCGTTAAACTGCATTTGTTAATGCTTCCGACGTTGCTTAACTGATATTGTTCAGGATAACAGCTATAGTGTAATATTTAGACGCTACTATTCATTACTACGTGAACACTACCAAAATGACATGTGTTCCCATATTTCTTAGAATGAGTATATAGTATCTGGCTTTGTCATAAATGAATGGTTTTGTGTAGCTTATCCCAAGACCTGCCTATGACAACGATGACCTGGGGGTGGAGACTATTGAGGTCGACTCTGTGTCCAACTTCTACGACGTTAATCACACACGCAAGGAACAGCCTCAGAATGACGTCACGGTCACGTTACCACTACCACGTGACTACACGGGAGACCGCGGCGACCTTTATGTGCTCAACAGACGAGACAAAGAAGAAGACGAGTCAGAACTGTCACTGTGGGAAATTATCTGCGTTAATCCTAAAGTGACCCAGGGGAAGATTACGTTCAAGGCTACGCATTTTTGTAGGTAAGTCAATCAAACTTTTTCTCGATATTTCGTCTGAAGTAAGGGCAATATTATAGGAGATGCCTGTGCTTTTATCCATTGGGGCACAAAAATGGTGTAGTTTCTTGCAATCAATTTAAATTTTAACTTTTTTCATTGTTTGTGCTTGTATATTACTCACCTGAAGAAGGTGAACTTGCCAAAATGTTTTGGGGTGATTATTTTATAGAAGAAGGCCACACATTTTGTGAATATATATATACCTAAGGCCAATGAGTGTTAAGGTAACACAATCTTACGGTATTGTTTACTACTATCATGGTTTAGCAATGGCATACGGTTCCTTCAATCTGCATCAGTCTAGACATAATGTGGCAATACTAGATCGCAAGACTTAGCTGTTTTGCATTTTCATTTTCCTGATGATCGAAGATAGAAATACATAAATGTTCGTAAACGTTTTGTAACTTCTTGATGTTTAATCTATTTTAACAGCTATGGAATGGTTTCAACAAGAGAACCGAGATGCGACACAGAGGTAAGCGATCACCAGAAAACATCAGCACCGGTACCAGATTCCCAAAACGATATTATTCATACAAGCCCCCGAACACAAAACGAACCAGAAGATAAGCCTGAAGCCACCAGTAGCGGAGGTGAAAAACAGTCAGACACCACTGAGATACAGACCGAGAGTGGAATACCTAAAGAAGATGTCCCAAATGATCCACCGACTAAATGCCAGGATACATCAAAACAGGACACATCATCAGCCATGGGTGACATATCCCAGAGCAATGAGCGAGAGGAAAAAGACGATTGTTTAGTTGATGCATTGAAAGATGAAGAAAACATGGAGAAAGATTATGACACTCCAACTGAACGCAACAACTTGGAGGAAGTTGTTCAAACATCTGTGGATGTTCTTTCTAAGGAGGCGTCGAGCACCGGGACGCCACAGATCAAGACGGATGCTAATGAACAAGAGCAAGATGTGGGTGGCATCAATAGGCAAATGTCTGATTTAGATAGAAACGATGCAGATATGAAAGAACCGTCAAGATCTGAAGATACAGGATTGACTGGGCCTACAGAGAATGATAATGATAACAAAAGCATTAAGTCAGTGGCTATTGAAGAGAAACAAAAAGAGACTGATGATAGAGACAGCCATGTGCGATCTAAAGCTGCTTCAGACCAGGAAGAGAAAACTCCTGTGGAAACAACCCACGCTGAGGGGTCTGTTGGAAAAGCTGCTTCAGGCGATGAAGAGAAAACTCCTGTGGAAACAACCCACGCTGAGGGGTCTGTTGGAAAAGCTGCTTCAGGCGATGAAGAGAAAACTCCTGTGGCAACAACCCACGCTGAGGGGTCTATTGGAAAAGCTGCTTCAGGCGATGAAGAGAAAACTCCTGTGGAAACAACCCACGCTGAGGGGTCTGTTGGAAAAGCTGCTTCAGGCGAAGAAGAGAAAATTCCCGTAGAAACAACTCAGGCTGAGGGGTCTGTTGGAAAAGCTGCTTCAGGCGAAGAAGAGAAAATTCCCGTAGAAACAACTCAGGGTGAGGGGTCTGTTGGAAAAGCTGCTTCAGGCGAAGAAGAGAAAATTCCCGTAGAAACAACTCAGGCTGAGGGGTCTGTTGGAAAAGCTGCTTCAGACGAAGAGGAGATAATTCCCGTGGAAACAACCCATGCTGGGGGGTCTGTTGGAAAAGCTGCTTCAGGCGAAGAAGAGAAAATTCCCGTAGAAACAACTCAGGCTGAGGGGTCTGTTGGAAAAGCTGCTTCAGGCGAGGAAGAGAAAACTCCTGTGGAAACAACCCACGCTGAGGAGTCTGTTGGAAAAGCTGCTTCAGATGAGGAAGAGAAAACTCCTTTGGAAACAACCCACCTTGAAAAGTTAGTTGGAAAGGAGGAAGTATTAAATGACACCGACAGTCACCATTCAAAGACAGGAAGCACAACATCACTACACAAAGAAAGGTCAGGTTTTCAAGAGAAGCAGGTAGGAAAGCCAGAATATTCTGGTGAAAGTAAACCAGTCGATTCCCGGAGCGAAAGTATGGGCAGTGTTAGATCTGGAAAAGAAAAACAGATTGAGTCGTCAAACAAAAATATAACTTCCAAAAACCACGCAAGTCAGTCTTCATTAAAAGGCAGCCAGATGTCCTTAGCTGGAAGTGACAAATCTGTTGACAGTGTGAAGTCGAAACTGTCCATACAATCACAGAGAACAATGTCTAGAAAAGAACAACATATATTACCTAGAAGCAGTCAAGATCATGTGTCAAAAACCTCATCCGGGCGCAGTTCCGTTCAAGGCAGTAGACACAAAGTTAAAGAAAGTAAAAAACAACAGAAACATAGACGGATACAGGAGACAGAGGTTAAGAAGGCAGCGGCGGTATTGTATGATAAGGCGAAGAAAAGGAAATGCAAAGTCTCTTTTGTGGTCATGCTGAGAACAAATGAAACGGACAGCTATGAAACTCTTGTTGAATGTTCAGTGAAGGATCCTGATAAACGTGTCACATTCTGGAAAATGGAAGGTTTTGATGACCAGAAGCCGAGTTACCCACCAGGAAGTAATGAGTATAACATTATCCCAAAGACTCTATTCACTTTTCCTATCTCAGGAGCAGCAGAATGTTTGACGAAACCCAAATTGGAATTTCACCCAAAAAGAAAAGATGAGAATGTTCTGAAATTCTCAATACATAGAGTTAATCCTGACAACAGCCAAGCCTTCGTGAGGATTAAGAAGATGAAGGATAAGCGTACTGACAATGCCCAGGAAGAATCGTTTGGACATGTTACTCTTTACCTAGATGGGTATGAAGGCAAGAAAAAGAAGACTCTGAAAGATGCCAAGCGCGATAGCAATTTCAAGGGTAATGCCACTGTTTTAGTGATTGGTTGGTTGGTTTGTTATTTAACGCCGCACTCAGCAATATTCCAGCTATATGGCGGCGGTCTGTAACTATTAAATATATGGCGACAAACCAGATGATCCAGTAATCAATATCTTGAGTATCGATATACACAATTGGGATACCATGACATATATCAACCAAGTCAGCGAGACTGACTACCTGATCCCGTTAATTACCTCTTACGACACGCAGGGGTTGCTGAAGACCAGTTCTAATCCGGGTCACTGTTTTAGTGAAAACTGAGTAAAACTGCCTATATGCGTAACGCTGTTAGAAACATTACGTGCCTTGTTTTGTTGGGTTTTTTGTGCTGATTAATGTTATGCTGAATTATGTTTTAGGGGGGAGTTTGCCATAGGTAGTGAAAGCAATATATAAGGACGCCTTTATGTGTAATTTTCTTTAAAGGTTTCACCAGTGATAACTTCCTGGAGAAAATAGCTAAACAACTTACTAGTGAATGGTACAAGCTCGGAATTCACCTCGGCTTGGCGAAGAGTATCATAGATAACTCGGACGAGGTCAAGGGAGACAAGAAGCTGATGGTAAGTATATTTTTAAACAATTCCTTTTGGCGATGTAATAACCTGTGATTTATATTAAGTCAAGTCAATGTGTTGGGCGCAAACAGGCCTCTTACCTGCCCACGTCGCCCTAAAACTATACAACCAACTATATTTTCGCCTGATGTATGTTTAACAATAATTCCAGCCATCTGACGCAGTCTGTATATAGTCTAGTCTTGGTAAGACAGTCCCATGATTGACACCATGAGCGTTGAGCTACGCAAATGAGATATGATGGCATGGATCAACCAAGTCAGCGAGTCTGGCCACCCGATCCACTAAGTCGCCTCTGAGGTCAAGCATGGGTTGTTGAAGACAAATTCTAACCCGAACCTTTACGGATCGTGTCTGTATAGTAGGCTAATGTAGTCTTACATCATTCATACTTCTTAGCGGGATATTCACAGGTAAACGACAGTCACTCAATGATTAACAAGAAACATTTGAATGTTAGTTTTCAGCGTTCTCTGATAACGTATCAGAGACAATTTCTCACTACATATACTGTACCCATGGTTTCCCTTGTTCGCCAGATGTTGATATTGTGGCGAGACAACTGCAGATACAGACGAGACATGGGCGTCAGGAATCTCACCATGGCACTGAGAAGGGTTGGAAGAAATGACATTGAGGAACTCGTCATGCAAGAGCTGAAAACATGGTATCGTTTGCCTTCACTTAAGTATACTTTCTTAAATGCTTACATCGACCAACAAGAAACAGTATTCTTGATTGTAAATGTAAACAGCAACTTCCTTTAAACCTCTTTGGTTTTAGATCACAAGGCTTGTATGTAGATGGCAAGAAACATTATAATTGAACTGACAATGGCCTAAATGTATCAAAGATGTTCACATTTATCTACGTCGCCTCATGCATGTCACTGTAATTTATGTGTAGACATCTTTAAGTACTTTAAAAATTTCAAGAAATCATCATATTTCAGGATGGAAACAAACAAGACCAGAGATGACAGTTTCTGCACCTGGCTGAGAGCAGCATTGAACAAGGACTGGATAATCCCTAAAGGTCAGATGAACTTTGTATTAATGTTTAAAGTCGTCTTTATAGTCGTGTCATGTTTGATCAAATGTCCTCGAATATGATAGAAAACAAAACTGCATCTTAAATATTCAGGGAATGATCTTATGATGTTCCTTGGTAGAGATTGGATCGCTAGATTTCGCAACGACTGTGATCCTTGGTATTTGATCAACGTGTCTGCGATCGTTAACAAAGGTGTCTGACGTCAAAGACGTAACTAGGAGCTTTAGGTTTACAGGTAGTAATACAATACGTCAATATATGTTTTCAACTAACATGGCCTACACGATCAAAAAGGTTGAAATGCGTTAAGGGCCTAGAAGTATTCGCGCTAATGGCATTCAATATTGTGTTACCAAGGTGACCTGGAGCCGTTGTCCCTTGCCTTCATGATGAGTCTGGTAGAACAAGTCGGCATGGAAATAGCCCTTGTCCATCTTCTCGATCTTCCGACACCTCAGATCAACAATATTGAAGAGGACAAACGTTTTTTCCCAACCCCAGAACGCAAAATGCTAGAGGTGAGACCTAATTACTGGCCTGCGATACAATTTTCTACTGATCTTTATCTACTGGTGAGTGAGTGAGTTTAGTTTTACGCCGCTTTTAGCAATATGCCAGCAATATCACGGCGGGGAACACCAGAATTGTGCTTCACACATTTTATCTACCGGTAATCTTCAGGAAGGAAATATACTTTAGAGTATGCGTTCGTGCGGTTGCATTTCAGGGTGGTATTTGTTAATCAAGTTACAATTCATTATATATATGGACAGAGTAACAGAATTTTTAAATTCGCAGCTTCTGACGTTTCTTTATATTCCAACATAGGAGACATACATAACAGTAAAGGGAATAACATCAGTAGTTATTTCAATCACTTACCGTAAATACCCAAATTCATATTATGTACAAATTCAGTAGACTTTCGCAACTGTATACGGGTGAGCTATGTCGCAGTGTATCACATGGACACTTGCTACTCTGTACCTACAGATGTTACTGCAAGCCAAGACGAGGTACCAGTTAGATATAGCGTTCTTCAAGGACCTGGACAAGCGCCTTGAGGAGCTTGGACTCACTGAGGCACAGGTGTGGTGCAGAAATACTACAGCCGAATGGTATGTTGAATAAGCTGATCAGCAAGAGGTGAGGTGGGGTGAAATTGGGTTTAACGTCATGTTTGAGAATATTTCGCACATATGACGACGTGCATGGGTGTGTATGTGTGGCTGCTTGTACTAGCCCAGACTTAAGCTGGTTTTATAGTGCTAGCCCACTGAGATACCATGCCGCAGTGAAGCATGAATACCCCACTCAGACACATTATACTGATTCCGAGCCGACCAGTCCTTGTTGTACCCATTAATGCCGAGCGCCAGGCAGGGACCAACAAGTACCATATTTTAACGTCTTTGGTATGACGCGGTCGGGGATGGAACCCGCGACATTCCGGTCTCCGGGCGGACGCTCTACCCACTACACCACGGAGGCGGTCTGATCAGCAAGAGCATATCAATGTAGGAGGCAGGTGATGTGATGTTTACATCCTCAACCTCATCTTTGCTGGATGTTTTACTTGTTCATTTATGATATCCGATATTTGATAGAAGTTCTCAATTGACTGTCGAACACAGGAAATTGTACAATGGTTTATGAGAAGCTTAACTTGTATCTGGTTTCATGTCTTTGAATGAGTTTTGTCTTTTATTACTTGGAGATACCTCCTCGATTACCAGCCACAGTAGACATACAAGAACCGGAGTAAAGAATATAATAAAGTTTTAAATACTACATTGCACAATTGACTTGCCTTTGCATGTTTTTGTGACCAATGAGGCTGGATACGTTCACCTTCACACCAACACCTGGTATCATTACTATTTGATAGTGTTTCATAAACACATGAGTATGGAAGATAATGGACTCTGCCATTTGCAGAGTTTTCTAACGAATATTAATCCCCGTGTATCTCGCTCACAGGTGCTGGGAGAATGGAGACAACGGAGGCTCTGCGTTTGTGGAACAGCTGAAGAGTTACTTGGACGAGGTGGGCCATCAGTATCCCCCTGTAGAGGATCCAGTCGACGTAGTGGCTGATGCTGCTGCCACAGGTGCGTCATCAGAAGCTGAGGAGCAAGAGGCACAGTGATGGATGATAAGGCCACCGAAGAACTGTCTGCTAGATCTATGATCTATATGTCCAGGGATATTCCGCGGTCCTCACTGCACTCAAGATCTGGACTCTCCTATCGTTTAAATACTGTCCAGTGCTGCGTTAAAACATGATGCTCGTCCATTCGTTCTACTTCTACTGTCCATAGATCTACATGTATAACACCTTATAGGAGCAGTGCTGTCTTAGTCACCTGAATCACTACAAGTCGCTGTCCAGAGTTACCTCCCCTAGACGTACAGAAACCTATGATCTGGCTTTCGAGCCAAAGTGGTCGGCATCTAAGACCTTCATTACTTCGGTTTTTCATCCCACCTGGCGCCGATATACAGGCTTCGGTAAAAACGTCCTCGGTAATAAGGTCCAAAATTTGTCTAGGTAAAAAAAGATCCTCAGGAAAAAAGTCCCCTTTTCTTTTCTAACAAGAAATGTATAAAAAAACAATGCATTTATAGCTTTTAGTTTTTCATTGTCACCCATACATACACTAAATGTTATATGAATAACAATATAAACACAAGCCAGTCCACGTTATTAATCTTCTTAATTAATATTCCTGTTAACATAAATTATTATTATTCAGTGTTTTCACACTGAGACACATACAACTGTTTTACAACAGATCGAAGGTCAGTTTAGATATTTAATCCGTGAGCACATTATTTTAGATGTTTAAAAGATCAAACATCAATTTAACAATTTATTCTGACATAATATGTGATTTATTGAATTTCTGTTTAAATCTTTGATGTCAATTTTGTCAAATATATAACTCAATCAGTAAAAAGGACTGTTTTATTGGTACTTATTTACCGAGGACATTTCCCCCTATAATCGACATACAGTACCCTAAAAACTGTTCAGAATGGCGTTACACCGGAGGTGTTACTGTATATTACGTTCTCTCTACTGACAACTATACTTACGATCTGGATACACTGAAGCTGAGCACAATACTTCACATCCAGAGTTAGTAAATATAGACGAATTAACTTGAAGTGGTTTCGTCTGGATTAACGAGTTTCAGTGAATCGGATCTGTAGCGTAGCACCTGATAGGTGTTAAATATGTCATGTCTGCTATTCCAATTGTAATTCATAAATGTCTGTATCTATATGTTTCTTTATGAAGATTTCTTGTTACAATAAAGAACTCATATTGTCAAGCTTTACTAGTTCTTGTATTTTACAAAGCAAAGGTTGGTCTGCTATACGCGCCATTAAAAGGAGATCAGTGACTGTAACTTCGGTGATCTAAGAGATGTTACTGGTTGGAAATTTCAAACTCTAAACCTTTCTTTGGACTGACTCCGTAATAATGTGTAGGTTTTTGGGCGGTGGTGATGGTTTGGATGGTATTGTTTTGTATGTAGACTAGATATATTTAGTCACAAAATCGTAATTATAACTGTGAACTCTGTGAAAAAAACACCTCGCAACAATGTATTCTTTTCTTTCATTCTGAAGCATAATTAAGGATTTTCGGAGACAATTTCTTTTCTTGATAAAATCCTAAAACGTGAAAGCTGGTGTCCTGCTTCTTGGTTCGAAATGGTTTATCTGATGTAGTACATGTGTATGTACCTGATGTGTCATACAGAGTAACTACTAAACATAGGGAACCTGGCGTGACTATCCTACCAGCTAGGGTGCCTGTATGGATCTTCTACATCCAGATCACCAATTCTAGAAAGGTTATTGTGTACCTTTAAAAGTTGTAGTTAATATTTCATTTTTTGGGATGATATTGTTTTTGAACCAAGCTGTATGATTTATATGGATTTAGAAAATGATTATTCTATACACAACGTGTTATGAATGTCGTGCAATAAGTCAATTTCGTGGAGGCTTTTCCATGAGACGTGTCAGTGTGTTACTCTACACGTCACTGAAACAAAACAAAACTAAGGGGCTGTTCATAATGTATAGGTGATGATGATTTTTCTTTTTCATTGGAGTTGGGGTGGCGGGAACGCCCATTTTGTTCTGGGGATGTAGGGGGGTCATCCATTTCGTACATAAAAATATAGATATAATATGCTTAAAAATATTTGGGGGATATTGATTTTGTACATGACATTCTTGGGGTCACTTACTTTGTACATAAACACTCTCTCTCAAAAAGACCGTTTCATCGGAATGACTGTGTTAAGAAACCGTGGTCATCATGTCTCTCAAGTTGGAGTTGAGCTTCACAGAGCTTCAGGTTTCAGAGTGGATTCTTAATCGGCTACACAGTAACCACAATTGACGGACTGCCACATTACAGCAAGACCTTGTTGGTGACAAGAGCGGCAGGCTGGACAAATGTCATGTTTTCTGATAAGTCGAATTTTACTGACTTCCCTGACAGGCACAATAGAATAGCGTAGACGTAGTGAGCTTTACCATAGCTTTAACCAGGGATAATCTACAACCTTTTTAAATTTTTAAATTTATTTATTTTTATCTCTATATTATTATTTTAAATTTTATATATATTTTTAATTTTTAACGTTTATTTTATTTATTTTTAATTTTTTTTATATATATATTTTTTGGGGGGTGGGGGTGTTTTAGTAATGGTGTGGCTTCGGATCACGGTGACCAGCAGTCACGGGGCAGTGCTACTGTGACAATATCCTGGAGGTTCACCATTCGTGACCAACTCGTGTTATTCAAGACAAGACAAGCCGAATTACGACTCGTGTCCATCTAGAAGGGATTCATATTCGGTATGAAGACCAAAAATAACTTAAACAAGAACGATAACTCTTTTTCAGTTATATTGACACAGTAATAGGTATTAAAAAAGCACTCGAATATAGTGTTTTGTAAAGCATTTAACCTCTTATTTATTTAAATATTTATTTATGATCGCTAATACTAATAATAGGAAGACGAATTTATTGAAAACATAATTTTAGTGTAATTGTTTACAGCTGCTCATGTTCTATTTTCAAATGTATAGTTCTAAATATGGCTCTAAAGTTTAAAAAGAGCAATAATATGTCGTGTTAATGTAAATTTACTTTTTCAGATTTTCCAGATATCTAAAAATCGCATATGTTATTTTTCATTTGAATAGACAATTACAATAACAATTCAAGTAAATAGATTAAAGTCTAATAATTTACAGGTACACAATTATCAATAAAAGAACAATATAAGTGTCGATTTTGGTTATCTAACCTATTAGATTTATTTTATGTGTTTTCCATACACCGATTTTGTCAGCATTTATTGTTATATCTTAATTAGCAGAGTTACCTTAAACAGTAGAACATTTAGAATCAGAATTCTCAGGGTTCGGAATAATGAGATTTTCTTTTCATGCGAAGTGCAGCAGTGTAATGTAAACATATGTAAAGAAATCCACAAAATAATGAATAACTGTTTTTTATGGCGTGGCATGTGACAATGTGTTAATACTATGGTACAATTGGGTTATCATTAAATTTGTCTTTTGTAAACTAGTATATGCATCTTAGACTCATAATAATTAGGTAGTTAATTAGAATTGAATATAGTATGGCTATGATATCTCCAATGAAGTGAAATGTAAGAATAATATTCAGGGTAAAGTTAAATAAGTGCACATGCATATCAATTGATTTGAAAATCGTTATTTAAGAGCTGTTATTATCGAAACGGTCTTTAAACTGAAATATACCTACAAAACCAAATAGATTGACAAAGAAAATATGCAATTATTATAGGAAACGACATGAGCCGTTGTGTTTACAAACACACCTGTGTAGATTTGAATCCTTCAACGTGCAAGCTCTCTCAATTAACAACTTGAATTCATGCAACACATTTCTGTTTTCTATGTACTTTGTAATGTCAAGATAACGATCAATATTTTTCACAATTTTTATACGATCACATCTTGTCATAACATAGTTTATTGATCGTGACTACTTTCATCAAAGCACATCAGCGCTTACACGCGTTCCAATTGGTTTGTCGTATTTTCCTACTTTACATTCCACGATAGGGGAACGAGTCTTCTTGACGTTTACGGAACGGGGTTATAGTGGTGAAGGACGGAGACACACCTGATGCCACTTTAGCGCTGACTTGCACGACGTTTTTGTGTTTAAGGGTGACAACGCAACAGCAATAATTCTCTAGATATGTGTACAAGGGCATCAATTTTTATGTGTTTCACGTAGCCACCATATTCTGAACATGGGTCGGTCGGTCGAGGAAAAAACATTTCTTTTAAAAATTAATAAAGACAAAACTATCTGAATAATGTTCTTTATTCTCATTGATATTCTTATTACAATTTCTCGCGTTCTTTTGACTTGTGGCATCGTCTGATTAAAAGATATTATATTTTATAACAATACACCACATTTTATACAACGAGGCGGTACATTTTAGGTTCGAGGTGGCGGTGTTGGAATGAAAAGTTATGTTGGGGGTGGGGGTCAATATGTTGGGGGTCAATAAAATTAGAAGGGTCGGTCGGGCGATGAGAAACACACAAAAATAAAAATGCTGCCCTGAGCCACACATGGTAATGCAGTGATACTGAACGTATAGTCAAGCGCTATTCACCTCGCCTGTAAATACTTATTCTATTTTGAGGACACGTGTTTATACCGCTATCCTACATCATTTATACTCGGTAAACCAGGTCACTAAACCAAATTCGGGCAGTTCTGCAGAAAACTCCTGTCGTTATTATAGGAATCTCCTAAGATATATTTGGATGTGAGGTGAACTATACCCACCAGTCACTGTTGTGGTCATGAGGTGATGACTATGGGTATTCCCCGTTCCCAAAATAGACATGATGATTGCGTTTCCCAGTCAAATTTAGCTGTTGACGTAACAAATGGGATCGGTTGGTCGCTTTTAATAATGACAAGTTATCTTTGTTTTCGCATTTCATCATTCTCAGAAATATCCACCGTCACTCAATAAATGTACACTGACGTCTGTATGTATCATTCTTGTTAACAAGAGAGTAATCACCGGCAGGTTTAAATTTACGTCCTGCGTAGACTAACAATGACAGGTAACTGCGATATATGTCATTTCATATTTCTACTTCCTTCTTTGTCTAGACATTAGGATATATCTCTGTATAGAAATATTAGTTGTTGTTAAAGCACTTCTGATTCATATTTTCTTACGATTGTTTATGAGAAGATGGTTTTTCCACTCTAATCATTGTTGTTGATATCATATTTCTATTGTGTTTTGTACGTGTGTTGTTGTCGTTTTACATTTTAGGGTTTTTGTTTGTTTGCTGTATTTTCCTTTTGTTTTATTTAATTTTGCGGGTTTTTTAAAAAAAATTATATTTATTTTTATTTTGTCTTATTTTAAAGTTGAGGTGATGTGTGTGTTAGGGCGGGAGTGTACTATTAGTCACAAAATTTAATATATTAATCAGCATCTAAATAATGTATTGGATATTTGCTTCTATAAAAAATGTATCTCAAAAACCTGGAATCAATTTACAAAATAGCTGCATACGGATAGCCATTACACGTGTTACCTCCACTCCCGGTAATTATGTATTCGCCCGAAATTGATTTTATAGACATTTATCGTCGTTACAATTAACGTACGTTTAACGTCGATAGTACTAACTCAAGAGCAGTTTTCTTGATCCAGGACATCATATCGCATAACGAGAGGCCTTGGTTCAATTAATACAAGGGTTTGATTAGGGATGATAACCTTTTAACAATACTATTTCAGTAAACACATTATTCCCTAAACAGGTGCCTGATGTTATTCTGATTTTTTATCCACCGCAACGCGTTTTTCCGGGGGTATTAAAATGGACTCCGTCCGTGCGTGCGTCCGTCCGTCCGTGTACATTTGTCTTAGATCTGGTACATAGATCTGATACATAGATCTGGTGGTGTACTGGTGCCTTTTGGTAGTTTTGGAATTCTGAATAAAATATTTTTGGCGTTTCCATGGCAGCAAGTTTGACTTAGAATGAAATTAGTGGTAGTGCTCTTTTCCGGAGCTGAACTCTAAAACCGTTCACCATTTCTTCACCAAACTTGGCACATAGATAGATCTGGTGGTGTACTGGTGCCTTTTGTTAGTTTTGGAATTCTGAATAAAATATTTTTGGCATTTCCATGGCAACAAGTTTGACTTAGCCTGACATCGGTGGTAGTGCTCTTTTCCGGATCTGAACTCTAAAACCGTTCATTATTTTTTCACCAAACTTGACACATAGATTGGTCTGGTGGTTTACTGGTTCCTTTTTGGTCGTTTTGGAATTCTGAGTAAAATATTTTTGGCATTTCCATGGCAACAAGTTTGACATAGACTGAAATTGGTGATAGTTCTCCTTTCTGGAGCAGAACTTTAATAACCTTTCAATACTCTCCTTCCACTTTTCTATATACACACCTAAATATTTGCCATAATCATAACTCGTAGACATAATCATGAAGAGTATTTTGCCATTGCGGGGGATATTGATGACTTTGTCTTCTTGTTAAACATTGTGTTTAGCTGAACTGACTCAAAGACCTTTCAATATTACTTCCACATAACTTGTAGTACACATTAGGCATGCGCGGAACTGGTAACACTTGCTATGTGGCATGTCCATATTATTTTAAATGCCTTCCGAATTCAGTAAGTAGGAATTAGTGTTTTAAAGCCTCCCGAATTCAATAAGTAGGACTTAGGTTCACATAAGCGTAGAATCCATATTATCCCGTGTATCATACATCAAATTGTTCAGGGTGCAACTAAAAAATGTTTTTCTACTTTTTTTACAGATATCCAACAGCCAATTACGAATCTTATATACAGTTCCATGTCCAGGAGCGCGGTCAAACACAGTCCCAAACAAGGGAACATGACACATAGCGGGAGACCCCCCAAACATGTCAAGTATAAGGAATATCTCGACCGTCTGGGATCTTTTGTCGCCTGGCCCATCAGGTACGTCCCGAAAACTCCGGAAGAGCTTTCAACAGCCGGGTTCTTCTATATCGGGTCAGCTGACAGGGTCACGTGCTTCCAGTGCGGGATAACTCTGCGAGATTGGGAAGCAGACCACAACGCTGTCGAAGAACATAGACGTTATTCTGCCGACTGCGACTTCATCAACAGAACAGATATGCCACATCTTGGTGTTTCAGAGAGGAACTCAACAAGTGGCCATTTACCATCGGGTGCTTCAATCACTGTCAACAACGTGGAAAGGTCTGATACAAGACAAAGCGATACTGGGAGCTTTGAATGTTTCAGCACTAGCCACATGCACTCAAGGGCGTCAAACATACTCTCCGACGCTGAAAGTACTCCAAGAAGTGCAAGCGTAGTCAATAGTACCGAGGCTCTGTTAAACAATCTGACCATTAATGGCCCCTCCTCTGCTAATCGTCCTCTTCCTACGGGGGGAAGGAACACAGATCCTGTCTCCAGTACATCTGCTTCTGAGGAAGGACTATTGAAGACTGTAATGTCGGACCAAGTCATCACTGCAGCACAAGGACCACCAGAACTTCATCCACTTCTGACGGAGAACAAGCGTCTGAAAGAACAGCGCATGTGCAGAGTGTGCAGAACCAAGGATGCCGCCATCTTGTTCCTACCATGTGGTCATCTTGTCACGTGTCCCGGATGTGCAGACAGTGTGCATGACTGTGTTGCGTGTGGACGGAGCATACTTGGTACTGTCAAAACATATCTGGCATAAGCTTTTGATGTAAATCATATCAGTGAGACTTCCCAGTTATGAATTTCAACTCAGAATTCTTCGACAAAATGTCAAACGTGATAAAAACGATCTGGTGCTAACTGTTATGTTGCAGTGTTCTTTTTCCAACACTATTTCCATTTTCCATATTACATCTATATGCATCCATGCCACGTATACCCAGGACATCGTGTAGTCTATTAACGCTATTATCATTATGTAAAGAGGTTGTGGCAGAATGCCAAGAAAGTCATAGAATTTCACTTTTTTTTTCCACTTTTTTATATGCTATCTATATGTATCCATGCAACGTATAGCCGGGAAATCATGTCATCTAGATCTATTAAGGGCATTATAATTATGCAAATAGGTTTTGGCGAATGACCAGAAAGTCATAAAAGTGTTATATTTGCATACAAATATGCATTTTATTTATGTATGTGATAATGGTAGATCATTTTATTAACAAGAACTTGTTTTAACTAAGTTTTAACTTTCTATAAAACCAAGTATGTCCGTTTTGGGATACCAGTTTCAATTTAGTATCAGTTATATTTTCAGTCCATGTCAAATGGCCATGCGACAACTGCTTTATTTATTTACATTCGTATACTATATGTGTTAGAATCAAGCTTTAATTTGATCATATTTGTTTTTCCAAATAAATGAAAAACATTTTCTCTTAAGAAGTATCTCTGAGGGATCACAGTTTCATGATTTTGACTTTAATATATTTTGCGTCCAATCTAAGTTATCTCCTGTGCAATATTTTGTACATGAGAATTGTTGTCAATAATGAAAACAGAGCCATGTGTACAGTATCTCATGTTTGAATATATTGTTATTAGCTTTGAAAAGCAATACAGAATCATACCAAATACGAGTTGTATTCTTTCATCATTCACTTTACCAGAAACTGCTTCCGAGCAAGTGTGATTTCATTCAAATGAGTTTAACACACTCCAGGTTTCACAAAATCTGATGGGGGCGGAGGTGTAGCCTAGTGGTTAAGGCGTTCGCTCGTCACGCCGTAGATACGGGTTCGGTTCCCCACATGGGTACAATGTGTGAAGCCAATTTCTGGTGTCCCCCGCCGTGATATTGCTGGAGTATTGCTAAAATCGGCGTAAACTTAAACCCACTCACACACTCACCACAAAAAGTTATCTGTTCTGTGATATCACCGACCCACCGACCTAACAATCGAGTTACAACTCTGCTGGCAAAGTGAAAAAAGGATCAGTCATAAACAAAAACGCAATGTCATATGCAGGAAAGCAGGATGACGTTACCTGTGATGTCTGAACTACATACATTTTATGGAGGTGAGGTGAGGTGAAATTGGGTTTTACGTCGTGCTCGAGAATATTTCGCTCATATGACGACGTGTATGCGTGTGTATGTGTATGTGCGGCTGCTTGTACTAGCCCAGACTTAAGCTGGTTTTTTAGTGCTAGCCCACTGAGATACCATGCCGCAGTGAAGCCTGAATACCCCACTCAGACACGTTATACTGACTCCGAGCCGACCAGTCCTTGTTGTACCCATTAATGCCGAGCGCCAGGCAGGGACCAACAAGTACCATATTTTAACGTCTTTTGGTATGACGCGGTCGGGGATCGAACCCGCGACCTTCCGCTCTCCGGGCGGACGCTCTAACCACTACACCACGGAGGCGGTCACATTTTACGGAAAGGGAATAGAAAAACAACACTGACTCTGGTTTCTTCCAGAACCTAATAGTAACAACACATAATGTGTGCAGTCACTCCCGAGAGAACGCTAGAAAAGACGGAAGGAAGTTACGCCCGTGAAGATCCGTGTTAAAACTGATCTTCAGCAATCCATGAATGTCGTAAGAAGCGACTAACGGATCCCGGTTGTCAGGCTCAGACTTGGTTAACGCATGTCATCGTATCCCAATTGTTTAGATCGATGCTCATGCTGTTGATCACTGGATTGTCTGGTCCAGACTCGATTATTAACAGACCGCCGCCATATAGCCTGGAATATTTCTGAGTGCGGTGTTAAACAACCTACCAACCTACCAGAAGGAAATTAAGCGTTCCTCACATTATGCAATAGAAACTTTGATGGACACAAAATCCTTACCTGTTGAACCGAAGATCACAAGCTATATAGCACATGTATATCACACGTTCAAAACATATACACATCGAACGTAAATTACATACTTAACTGAAATATCAGTCTGCCACTGCTTTTTTCCCCGTGGGAAGTTTGTTGTCCTCACACATTGGCCACATCCAGATCCATCAGACCGCTCACAGCTGCTTGTTGAAGACTCCCCTTTACTTGGCTAGACATAGCTTACCAAATCTGACGTGGACTCAGTGATTCTACTTGAGCTAAACTCGTGGGGATCCGGTTTAGAATTGGTCTTCGGCAAACCATGTGTGTCGTAAAGGTGTACTAACAGAACCGGGTTGTCATGCTGGCTGTTTTGGTTGATGCGTCTCAGATGGCTGCTCGTGATGTCAGTCACTGGATTGTCTGGCCCAGGTTCCATCATTTACAGACCGCCGCCATAGTGCTGAGTGCGGCATTAATGACATTTAGCGTTGTTTCGCTAAATGGGTTTATGGGCAGCATTTACAATTCAGCGCATAACTTTAAACTCTAGTACTTGCCTTGGCTTATAGTATCCATCCAGCGTCGCAGTACAGGAGGCGGTGTATTATTTAAGCATTTATTAATAGCAGCAGTAGGGCATTTAGAAGTAAATTGGTAAACATGTTCATAGCCAGTATTTACAATCCTTGTGCACAACTTTAAACCCTAGCTTTCACTTATAGGAACTAACAAGCACAGCAACGCACGTGGCAGTGTTGTTCTTCCGCATCCCATAATAGCAGTTACGTCACTTCCGGAGTGACGTCACATCTGCAAGCATACGTCATATCCTTCCTTTCTATCCTTCATGCTCTCCGGTCAAGTCGTACATTTTGCCTCTGCTAAATAATTCTCTCTAATCGCGTCGTGCTGTCAACTTAATTCGGAGTTCTTTATCAAATACTAGTAATTGCGTTCGCTTCCATTTGGCTTCTTTTCTGTCCTCCTTTCATTCAACTTTTTTGACAAGTTTTAGTTGTAGATCACCACGTGCTATCACCATGCCTCCAAAGCGCAAGGCAGCACTCAACCACTCCGCCGTGAAGGGACGTGCTAGAGCGGCGAAACGACAGGCAAAGGGGGTACGTGCATCTGGTGCTTCCCCATGAGCACTGCCCCCCAGGCCTGTCAGGCCCAACAACCGGAGGCATCCCCTGCGGCGACCACCACCACACCTCCGCTACAGCCGACTCCGCTGGCTCCGTCAGTCAACGCACAAGGTATGTCTCCCTTTGATCATGTGAACATATTGCCCGAATTATTGATTCCTCGTGGCGATCAGGCACCGGTTGGTATACAGCCAGCTCAAGTAGCTCCCTCCACACCTCAGACGGGGTATTTCAGCCAACACCTCACAAACAACATACTCGTGAATGCAGACATGCTGCCACATCAGCAGCTTAGCTCTAGGGCTGAGACCATTGGTTTCCACCTAAAGCAGGCTGTGAGGGAAAAAATACACCGGGGGGAGTTTGTTGATATGAAATCCCTCTTACCAGCAGAAAACCAAGCAGCTCAGGAGTGTCAGAATTTTACGATGGAGCTTGACCCTTCAGGCCAGGTAACATTTAGACCCAGGCAGCAGTCCACTCGTCAACTAAGCATTGGGTCTTGGACGTCGGCCTTTTTGACTTACATCAGTGTAGTCATTGAGCGTCAAACTGACGTAAATTACATACAGCAAATGTTGTCATACATGGAGACAATCTGTGGTGCTGCCGCTAAGTTCGGCGGTGACTGCTGGTCCCAATATGACACACAGTTTCGGCAGAAAATGGAGAGAGACCCATCACGCTCTTGGGGCGCCATTGATGGACAACTATGGCTGCAGCTGATGCTTCCTAGCAATAAACAGCAGACACACACACCTTCTGCCAGATACCCCAGCTACCCGCAACAGCGTGCGCCTATTGAGGTTTGTAGGAACTTCAATCGTGGCATGTGTGATAGGGGACAGACATGTCCTTATGCACACAAATGCTCGGCATGCAACATAGGCGGCCATGGGGCATCGTCCTGTTTTCGTGCCAAAAAGCACAACACAGTCCCCGCACAAACCCCTAAGCGACCCACTGCCCTGCCAGCCAGGAATGCTTCGCATGGCCCCATCTCCAGTTAATGTTGTTTACTTGCGTCAGTGGCTGGAGCACTATCATTCAATCAACCCATTAGCAGCTGAGTTACTGGAACAGGGTTTTAGTCAGGGCTTTAGTTTAAAATATTCAGGGCCAAGGGTTGCTCGGGATGCGGTCAACCTTAAATCTGCGATCGAGCAGCCACTACTGGTGGAGCAGAAACTATTTAAAGAAATTCAGTTGGGTCGCATAGCGGGCCCATTCTTACACAGACCAGTGGATTCCCTGATAGTTTCCCCAGAAAGCGGATTCATCTGTCCAGGGTGAGGCTGCCTTCCGCCTCATCCATCACTTATCATATCCTGTAGGTTCATCAGTGAACGACTATATACCCCAGGAAGCATGCACAGTGCAGTACACCACCTTTGATCAGGCGGTAGCTATGATACAAAATCTCGGCAGTGGGGCATACATGTCCAAATTTGATATCAAATCAGCCTTTCGTCTCCTGCCGGTCGCACCGTCGGACTTTCAGCTGCTCGGCATGAAGTTTCAGGGAAAATGTTTCATTGATAAATGTCTCCCCTTCGGCTGTTCCATTTCTTGTGCTTTATTCGAGTCATTTAGCACTTTCATCGAATGGGCCATTAAGGCCGAAACGTGCAGCCAGGATATAGCTCATTATCTGGATGATTTTATCCTGGCTGCGGCGGATTTGAACACCTGCTCGCACATGCTCCAGACTTCCCTTCAATTCGCCAATCGCCTGGGCGTGCCAATTGCACACCAAAAAACGGTGCAACCCACAACTTGTCTTACATTCCTTGGTCTCACCATAGACACGGTGAGGGGGGAAATTAGGTTACCACAGGACAAGATAGCGCAACTGACTCATCAGTTATCTCAGCTGGTAGCGTCTCCATCCAAGAAGGTCACTCTGCATACCCTGCAATCAATAGTAGGTAAGCTGAATTTTGTATGCAGGGCAATTCCCATGGGCCGTCCATAGATGCTCAAAAAGGGGCAAGCAAACCGCATCACAGAATACGCGTATCAGCGGGCATGCGACAGGACCTCGCACTATGGCTTCAGTTCCTTGCCGAGCATAACGGCACAACCTTATTCTTGGAACAAGGATGGGTTTCTACCCCATTTCT